AGTCCCTCTTTTATCCTTCCTTCTTCCCTTCCTTCCTTCCTTCTCATCCTCCCTTCCTTCTTCCCACCCACCCCCCTCAGTCTTACAAAATATATAGTGTGGTTTTTATGTGTGTGTAATTTTAATGTATGTAATCGGCCCTGGATTACACATCTCATTCTCTTCCAAGTTGCTTTTCAAACAAGCACCGTGTTTTTAAGACCCATCCATGCTGTTTGTGTTTATACATCTGCCCTGCTGCAGGGACTCCATGGAGGGTGTCCACACTTTCACCCAAAAACCTCCCTCGGGATGGACACTCTGTGGCTACCAACTCCCAGACATCGCAAAGAACACTACAAGTCATATCCTTGTATGCGTCCACTTGTGGGTATAAGAATCTCTTTGGGATGTATAACCAGTAGAGAGATGGCTGAGTCATCAGGTGTGTGTATACTTAATTTAATGAAGTAGTGCCAGACCCTTCCTCAGAAATGAAAGCACAACCCTTACCCAAGTAGCACCTGAACATTCTTATATGTGTACATCCCTAACAACACTTGACTCTATCCATTCTTCTAATTTTCTCCGCCCTAATGGGTGTAGAGTAGTTCTCCTTGTTTCAATTTACATTTCTCGGATAACTAATGAGTTTTGAACATCCCCCTCATGTGCATAGCTTTTCTACAAATTGCCTATTCATATCCTTTACCCATTTTCCCCAAAGGGTGTCCATCTTTTTTCTTATCATTTCACAGGTGCTTCTTGCCTATTACAGGTATCGGTCCCTTGTCCATTTTTGATATTACAAATAATTTCTCCCATTCTGACAAATGCCTATTAATGGTCTGTCTTACCTTCCTTTAAACCTAAATTCTTAGTTTTGACATAATGAACCTAATCAATGTTTTGTCCTATGACCTGTGCTTTTGAAGTCTTAAGAAGTCATTCCCTGTCACAGAGATTCAAAGATATTCTCCTTGATTCTTTTTTCTATTGACCTTATAAGTGTTATCTTTCCCATATTGGTCTTTAATACTTCTAGAGTCCACTTTCATGTGTGGTGTCAGATAGGAATCTGCATTTAGTTTTCCCCTCACAGTGAGCCAGTTTTCTTTCTTTCTTTCCTTCTTTCTTCCTTTTGCAGCTCACCAGCTCCTTAGTTGCGGCACGTGGGCTCCTTCATTGTGGCTCAAGGGCTCCTTAGTTGTGGCTCACTGGCTCCTTAGTTGTGGCATGTGAACTCTTACTTGCGGCATGCATGTGGGAGCTAGTTCCCTGGCCAGGGATCGAACCCTGACCCCTGCCTTGGGAGCTCAGAGTCTTAACACTGCACCACCAGGGAAGTCCCGTGAGCCAGTTTTCTCAACACCATTTATTAAGTGTACCTTCTTCCTCCATTACTTTGAGTTGCTACTTTAACATATTTTATATAGAGAGTATATAAAATTACACTGAGTTCCCATGGGCCTCTTTCTGAGCTCTTGCTGTGCGTCACTGATCCATTTGTCTGTTCTTGCACTAATACCTCACTTTAAAAAATACATTAATTTTGTTTTGTAGTATGTCTTAATGTCTAGTAGGGCAAGAAGCTTATTTCTTGCACCACCACAGCCCTATTCTCACCGCTTACATCACCATGCAGGAAACACACTGATCCTCTCCACCCTTAATGGAAACTATTTACTGACATCTGTCTCATCCTGGTTCTGGAGCCAGTCTCCTCATTGGAAAAGACACACCCTCACCCAGGAAGGGAAAGTCAAACCTGCCAAGGAAAATGTGCACGGTGTCTTAGCTCAGCATTTAGTTCCTAGAAACTTTATTTCCCCCACCATTTCCTCTGTATCAGCATACTGAAAACCAGCTCCAGTAGCCCAGACACTTGAGGTTTTATTCTCTCTGTTTTGAGCCCAGATATTGGAAGTCCATGCCTGGAGCAGGTACTTAAGTAAGTTGTCAACAATGCAGGCTTCCTCTTGCTTCTTGCGATCGAATCTTTTTTTAAAAAATAAGTTTATTTATTTTATTTATTTATTTTTGGCTGCATTGGGTCTTTGGTGCTGTGAGTGGGTTTCTCTAGTTGCAGCGAGCAGGGGCTACTCTTCCTTGCAGTGTGCGGGCTTCTCATTGCAGTGGCTTCTCTCATTGTGGAGCACGGGCTCTAGGTGCACGGGCTTCAGGAGTGGTGGCATGTGGGCTCAGTAGTTTTGGCTCACTGGCTCTAGAGCGCAGGCTCAGTAGTTGTGGCGCACGGGCTTAGCTGCTACGTGGCATGTGGCATCTTCCCAGACCAGGGCTCGAACCCGTGTCCCCTGCAATGGCAGGCGGATTCTTCACCACTGCACCACCAGGGAAGTCCCACAATCGAATCTTTATTTGTGGCTTTTATCCTCAAAGTGGCTGGTCTACCTCGGGCACCTACATGCCAGGTGAGAAGAGAGGGAAGGACCAAACATAATGCTCTCCCTTTTATCGGCAAAACAAAAGCCTCCCAGGAAAACCCAGCTGCTAGGTTTCAGCTTATGTCTTCTTTTTTTTTTTAAACACTGAACCACGCATGACCCTCTTTTATTTTACTTAGTTATTCATTCATTGATTTCAACAAATAATAAATATATGTGAACCCAACATCCAAGCCCAGATCTAGAACACTGACTATTGTTTACGTGTATCTTTACATTCCTCCCCAGTCTGTCCTCCTGTCTATAGCTCCAACCCAAGTTACCTATCATACTTCAGCTTATGTCTTACTGCTTCGAGCTGGATCACGTGGCCACCTGGTGAACATTTTTATTTAGGTCACGTGCCACCCCGAGCAACAGACGGCAATGCAATGTAGAGAACGATGACGACGTCTCAATTTTGCCCAGCTGGCTCTGTGCTGAGTCAGACAAGTTCACAATCCACAGTTTCCGCCTCCTGGCCCACACACTTCCCTTCTGATGTCCTGCTCACCCTTGAGCCTAAACCCGATCCAGGATACTTCTGGGTTCTGTCATCAGGAGGGATAAGCATGGGAATGGGGTGGTTGGAGCATCTAAGTACACTGCTTCTCCTAAACTGTTTTCACCATAGTTTTAGCAAACGTTACATTAGGAAAAAGTCAAATGGTTTAAAACTGTTGAAGAAACTAGAAACTATTCAGATGCTTATTCACTGTTAAAATGGGTAAATAAATGGAAGTACATTTACAAAATAATATACTTGGCAACAGTGAGAAGGAAATGTTTACAACTATAGATGAAAATCTGGGTGAACCTGACAAATAAAATACTGACATCTGGATCCTGAAGACTGAAACTCGTGCCTCCGGTTGTGTCCTTTTCCTTGACTGCGCGCTGCTGCTGCTGGAAGGGTGACTGGAGGCTCCACCTGCACGAGGCGGCCCCACCTCCTTGGCCATAGCTGACTGGACCCAGAGTCAGCACCTCCCGTGAGCATCCAATCAGGTTTTTTCTCTCTCTCGACTGTGAAATAAGACAAGCCAATCACTGGAGCCAGTTATCAGGGGGATGATGGAAAATAGAGGATGCCCCTTGCAGGAAATGAGAAGAGAGAGACCGTGAAAGCAAGGTCACGTGGAGGAAGAGCGAAGGATCCCAGAGGCAGCTGCTTCTGTCCTGACATTTTCCAAATGCAAGTCATGGATAGTCTGTTGTTAACGCACCTCCCTTTTCAACTCTGGCCAATAAGCAGCTCCATTTTGTTCTCCACCAACAGCCAGAATGATCTTCTTAGCTCACGTCACCATCTGGCTTTAAAACCTCTGGTGGCTTCCCAACCTTTTAGGAAAACAAACCAACCAGCTTCCAGGTATGTTGGTCTTCTTTGCGTCCTGAGAAATGCCCAGCCTGTCCCCATCTCAGAGCCTTTTCACTTGTCCTCCTATCTGGGACACCATTCACGGGGCTAGTCCCTTTTCATCCCAGACGTCTCAGCTCAAATGACACCTCCTCTGAGAGGCCCTTCATGTTACTCTCCTGTTGCTGCTGTAACAAATTATCACAAATGTAGTGGCTGACAACACAAATTTACTGTCGTATTGTTCTGGAGGTCAGACGTCCAAAATGTTGTCTCACTGGGCTAAAATCAAGGCATTGACGAGCAGGGCTGAATTCCTTCTGGGGGCTCTAGGGGAGAATCCATTTCTGTGCCCTTTTCATTACCTAGAGGCCACCTACATGCCTGGGCTCGTGGCCCCTTCCTTCATCTTCAAAGTCATCAGTATAGCGTCATCCAATCTCTCTCTCATTTTGACCCCCTATCCTGCCTCCTTCTTATAAGGACACTTTGGATTCTACTGGTCTCTCCCTCTCAAGATCCTTAATTTAATCACAGCTGCAAAGTCCCTTTGCCATATAAAGTCACATAGTCACAGGTTCCAGGGATTAGGATGTGGTCATCTTGGGGTGAGGGTGGGGGTCAGAGTAGCTACTGCTCGCCCGCACCCTTCGGACCTCCCAGGGTAAATATACAACCCCCCAACGTTCCTCCTCTTTCCTCATGCCCTGTTCTCCTTTTATTCATATCACATACTTATTATAGTATATAATGTATTTGTCTTTTTTTTTTTTTTGCGGTACGCGAGCCTCTCCCGTTGCAGAGCACAGGCTCCGGACGCGCAGGCTCAGTGGCCATGGCTCACGGGCCCAGCCGCTCCGCGGCATGTGGGATCTTCCCGGACCGGGGCACGAACCCGCGTCCCCTGCATCAGCAGGCGGACTCTCAACCACTGCGCCACCAGGGAGGCCCTATTTTTTTATTGTCTGTCTTCCCCTACTACAGGGGGAGCTTCACGCAGCAGGAATTTTCCTCTGTTTTGCCCGTTGCAATATCCCCGGCATCTGGACACATTCCTGGCAGTCGATCAATATTTATGAATAAAATGAAAAGCAGATCGAGTGAATCTCCGTTTGCTGCAAGTGAAATAACCTAATAGAGTGAACACAGCGGTGCCGAGGGGTGAGGGACTTGTCCCTGGCTGCGCGGCTGTTCAAGGAAGAGACCACACACGGAGCCCACTTCTCAGACGTTTTATTTCTGGGACCAGATTTGGGTCACAGCTGCAGAGAAGGTGGACTCTGGACCTGAGGAAGGAAGCACTGGGGAGACAGAGGTGCAGTGCAGCTCTCGCCCCGGTCATTATGGGAACCGTCTTCAGGGTCCGACCAGAAGGACCTGTCCATCCACTGTCCGGGAAGGGGGACCTTGATTCCAGGAGACTGGGGGCGGGGCACTGGAGAGATGAACAAACTCAACATTTTGGGGAAGGAAGTGGTGTCTGGAAGGAGTGTTGGGGTCCCTGCAGGGGTGGGGACTTGCAGGGGGCGAGGGAGGCCAGAAAGCCAGGTCCTAGGACGACTCATGCATTAGACTGGATAGTGTCCTGGATCCACTTGGAGAACCAGCAGAGGTTGGTGCAGACGCCGGGTCTGTTGGGCTGGGCGCAGGGAAAGTCTCCCCAGGACACAAGGCCCTGGAGGGAACCACTGCAGACCACGGGGCCTCCGGAATCACCCTGTGGAGGAAAGAGAGGGGCACAGAGAGGCGGTGATGTGGGGAGGTGAGGGAGGGAGTCATATAGATGAAGAAGGACCAGGGCAGCAAGAATAGAGACACAGACAATGACAGCGAGGGAGACACATGTAAAAAGAGACACACAGAGAGAATATTAATATTTCACCCCACGTTCACCCTTTGGAAACCCCCTCTGTCCCTGTCTACCCAACCCCCAACCTCTTTTCCATCTGTCTTCCTCATTGTGTGTCTCTGTGCTTCCTTCTCTCTCTCACTCTCCCCTCCAACCTTTGAATATTGTGTTTCTCCTACTGGACACCCCTTCCTTTCCCTTCCTCACTCTTCACCCGTCCTTGACACCAATCCACCTTGTACATATACCTCACTTTTGCAGAGAGGCAGTTCTCAGCCCCTGGGTGAGGGGTTCTCAACCTGGGCACCGCCGACGTTGGGACTAGATGATTCTTTGCTATGGGAGGGTGTCCTGTGCTTTGTAAGGCATTTGGCAGCATCCCTCTACCCACTACGTGCTAGGAAACCCCTCCCTCCCCACCAGACAGCGGTAGCCATCTCCGGGCATTGCCATGCATGCCCTGGGGGGTCAGAATTACCCTGGGGTTGAGAATCACTCCCTTGGACTAATTTAGGTCACCTGTGCACTCTTTACTGTCATTTCTTATTTATGTTTATGCAAAATACCTACAACCTGGCTTCTCTCCCCATTATAATGCAGACACTCTTCCCCAGGCAAAAAAAGCTTAGCTGCCCTGATCGCTAAATTTCAACATTTCTCTCATCATTTTTTGTTCACCCTTGTTCAGCATCCCTGCAGAGTCTCTTTTGCTCGGCAGGTAGTTAACTGCTCTGAGCCCTGGCTACTCGTCTGTGAAATAGAGTTAATAATGAAGGTTAAATGAGTAAATTGAGTTGATGCATCGGAAACACTTAAAAGAGTGTCTGGGGGCTTCCCTGGTGGCGCGGTGGTTGAGAATCCGCCTGCCGATGCAGGGGACACGGGTTCGGGCCCCGGTCTGGGAAGATCCCACATGCCGCGGAGCAACGGGGCCCGTGAGCCATGGTCGCTGAGCCTGCGCGTCTGGAGCCTGTGCTCCGCAACGGGAGAGGCCGCGATAGTGAGAGGCCCGCGCGCCACGGTGAAGAGTGGTCCCCGCTCGCCGCAACTAGAGAAAGCCCTCGCACAGAAACGAAGACCCAACACAGCCAAAAATAAAAAAGAATATTTTTTAAATAAATAAAATTAAAAAAAAAGAGTGTCTGGCAATTAGCTAACTGCTCTTAGTGCTATAGTATTAGTATTATTGTTATTATTTCTTGCTTTTAGCGGCCACACCCAGACCACACTCTGGTATGAAAAAGCCACTGGAGGTCTAGGGAAAGAAAAGCAAGGTACTACCCTTGGCTACGGAAAGGCTAGTGGTTTAAAATGCTGACATCCAAATCAGATTTGCTTTCTTCCGATAAAAACCCCTCCACCCATCCCTCTCTCCAGATGTGGGTGCTTCCAATGTTAAGTGGGGACACAGATTAAATTGGGCGATCTGGGGAGTTGCTGCAACTGTCACATATGTAAGATTTGCGGGGGTGAGTGGGGTGGGTGGGGAGATTTTCCCAGCCATCAGAATGGGACTGGAGTGCTGTCTGAGCCCACAGCTTACTAAACACCAAGATTACTGAAACATACATCCTGCCAGCAGAGAGCTTGTTAATTTACATTCCTCCAGACCCTTTGGGGACCTGAATACAGGGAAGGGTCCTGAGCTGTTAACAGTTTAATTTCTGTCATCCTCAACAAATAAAGCTCCCGTGAGAATACAAAGAAGGTCTGTACTGGGGATGAAGAAATATTTGCTGGACATTGGGTCCCACTCACCTCTCCAGCCTCAACCCCTGTCCCCCAAACATGCTGGCTCTTTTTTTATTCTTTGAATCAGCCGAACTCCTCCCTGCCTCAGGGCCTTTGCACATGCTTTTCTTGCCCTTAACCTTTGCAAGGCTGGCTCCTTTGCGTCATTCAATCTCTGCTCTGATGCCACCTCTTTGAGGCCTTCCCAATCACCCTTCCAAATACTGCCCTCCCCATCACTTGCTTTCATAAAACTGTGTTTTATTTCCTGCACAGCCCTTACCACTCTCTGAAATTACCCTGTTTATGCAGTTTCCTGACCATAGGATTTTTTTTAACCTTTTTGCTATTCCAACAACTTTGTGATCAATCCTCTCTATTAAATATTTTCGTTTAAAAATACCGACCATGGGTTTCTGTTTTCCTTCTTTAAGACATTTTACTAGCATTTGTCAGAAAACTTTCACACTACAGATTTTATGGGAATGAGACACTTAAGACTGCATCTGCCTGAAATGTTCCAAAATAACTAAGACAAAACTGCGATGTATATTGTATGAAGGGTGGCCCTTAGGTGTGATATCTTTATTCAGGGCACATCCTGCCCTTCTATACAACACAGCCTTGATCTCTCCCTTGAGACCTGTGCTGTCTAATACAGTGGCCATTAGCTATATGGGGCCCTTGGCACTGAAACATGGCTAGTCCAGATTGAGATATGCTGCCAGTGTAAAAATACTCACTGGCACAAACAAACCAAAAACAAACAAACAAACAAGGAAAAAATAGAAAAAAAAGGAAAAACAAATAAAACAAAAACAAACAAAAAAATACACACTGGCTTCCAAAGACTTACTATGAGAATAAAAGAATGTAAAGCATTCCATTCATAATTCTTTTATATTAATTACCTTTTGAAATGATGGTACTTGGGATACATGGGATTGAATAGGGTATATTATTACAATAGTCAATTTCAGCTGTTTTTTACTTTTTTTACATGTAGCTACTGGAATGTTTAAAATGACATGTAAGGACTTCCCTGGCGGTCCAGTGGTTAAGACTCCGTGCTTCCACAGCAGGGGGCAGAGGGTCCATCCCTGGTCATGGAACTAAGATCCCACATGCCCCACAGTGGGGGAAAAAAAAACCCCCACAAAAAACAAATAAAATTACTCGTAAGGCTCACATTATATTTTTACTGGACAGCACTGCTCCAGAATGAGCTCTGTGAGCACCGATCTGATCATCGCAGGGTCCCCAGCACATAGCAAGGCTCCAGGTGACATGGCTGGTTTCAGTGCGTGTCTGCTGAATGAATGGAGAAGTCTCTAGCCTTACCTTGCAGGAGTCTCTGCCGGCCTGGTCACCAGCACAGAACATGGTGTCATCTATCTGATTTGGATAGACCTTCTTGCACCTGTCCTCACTTAGCACAGTGATGTCCAAGCACTGGAGGACTTTGGGGAAGGGCCACAGTGAGTGGTGGAGGATGATGGGAAGGGGCAGAGTGCTCAGAGACAGAGAGGGGGAGAAGGCAGACACAGGTGGGCAGCGGAAAAGACCTGGACACTCACCCTGGGGACTGCTGGTCTTTTCCCAGACAGACGCCAAGCAGCTGGTCCCAGCGGATGGACAATGGGAGGCGTTGATGGCCCGACGTGTTGAGCCTCACAGATTCTTTCGTTCAGTTTGATGAGCGTGAGGTCATTGGAGTGGCCGGGGTGGGAAGAGCCAGGGTGGGGGATGGATTTGATCCCCTGAAACAGCTGCTGCCTGGATTCATAGATGGGTGACAGGGAATGGTGGCCAAGACGGATTCTGAAAACTCTGAGGAAGATGGTGCCGATCACGACCGACTCTGGTCCTTACCCCCATATCCAACGTCAACCCCAATGCCAAACCTGCTCGCAACCCCAATCTCACCCCTATCCACAAATCCATCCCCAGCACCATCTTTATCTTCAACCCCATGCCTATCCCCATCCCAGTCACAACTCCAAACCCATCTCCATCCCGTCCCCAGCGCTAACCCTAACCCTTTCCCCACACAGAAACCACCCACCACCCTCAACCCCAGCTCTATCTAACCATGCCCAACCTCAAAGCCAACCATCTCCAACTCCACCCATAACTCTAATCCAAACCCCATCTTCAATCCTACATCTATTCCGAAGCTCCACCCTATCCCAATTCCATTTTTATCTCCACTCCATCCCAATCTCCACCACCTCTAATTCTAGAGCCAAACCTAATTCTATCTTAATCCCAAACCATCAGCATACGACCAAACCCAAATCCAACTCATGCTCGACCCCCAAACCCCACCCTTACCCCAGCCCCAATCTTTTATCCACCTCCAAATCCTCAACATAGGCATTCCCAACTTCAAATTCAGCCCTCTCCAATCCCGTTCCTGTCTCTAATCCAGCACCACCCTCATCCTGTCCCATCCCACCTCCAATTCCAAAGCCAAACCAAATCACATCTCTATTCCTAACCATCCGGCATTTGCAATCCTAGCCCCGAATCCAACTCACCCCTAACTCCCAGCCAGTACCACAACCTCCTCCCCAATCTAACCCCATCCCCACCCCAGCTCTCCTCCCCAGCTCTATTCTAAATCCCATCCCCAGCTCTACCTCCCCCTGCTTCCTCATCCCCGTCACATCCTCCCCCCACCGCCATGCCCCACCCCCCCACCGCCATGCCCCACCCCCCACCGCCATGCCCCATCCCCCCCCACCGCCATGCCCCATCCCCCATCCAACCGTCCCCCCTCAGCCCTCCTCTCGGAGCCCCCACTCACTGCTTTCGGCAGTGGGCAGCCGTGAGCAGCCACTGCGAGTCCACCAACACGGCCCCGCAGTACAGCTTGTTGGGTCCCAGCAACAGCGCACCCTGCCACGGCTGGCTGGGCCTCTCGCAGTCGGTCCCATTCACGAGGCGGCTGCTGGTGCCGTCAGACGCCCGGCTGTTCTCCCCGGCCCCAGGTCCGAGGTCCTGGGTGCTCCCGGAGGGCCCGACGGCAGAAGAGTTGTCGCAGGAAGCAACATCACTTGCGAGAACAGGCTCTGGGGGCAGAAAATAGGGGTGGGGGGGTTGCCGGAAATAGAGCTCGGGAGCGGGGCTTGGACTCGGGGGCGGGGCTTATAATCAAGAGGCGAGACCAGCCAGAGGAATTCTGACCCCCGAGGGGCGCTTTTGTTGCGCGGGTGGGGGGGGCGGGGGCGGGGGCGGGCGGGCAGGGCTCTAGGGGCGGGACCTGGTTTTGAGAAGTGAGGGGGGGGGGTCAAGCCTTAGCGAATGGGGTCTGGGCTAGAGTCGGCAGAGCCTGAGATGTGGGAGGGGCTTGAAATCGACTTGGGCAGGGCCAAGGCCAGCGTCCTGCGGAGGAGTCGATCCTATAAAGAGCCCTGACTTTGGGAGAAGAGGCAGGGGCTGGGTTCTAGGAGCTGTGGTCAGGGCAGGAGGTGGATCCTGGCCCAAAGGAGGAGAGCCAAAGAGGCTGGGCCTTTCTTGGGGGAGGGGCACAGCTCAAGGATCCCTGACTGTAGATAAGAGTCTGGACTTGGGGTATGGATGGGGAAAAGGGGCAGAGTCAGAGCTTGTGGGCTGGGCCAGAGTTGGAGGAGCAGAACCAGGAAAAGTGTTGAGACTGGGGTGGGACTCCCGTGGGGTGGGGGGTGGAGAGCAGAGCTATTTTACGAATTCTTGAACACAAATGTGCCTCCTGAATTATCCTGCCCTTCTCCCTCACACAAACCTGCAGATAGGGGCATAGATATCCTACCCCATCACCGGTTCCCCCATCGTCTGTTCACGCGTTCACTTGTTTATATTCTTGCTGAGGACCCAGACAAGTGAAACCCTTGCTGCTGTCTTCATTTACGCACACAGTCCAAGAAACAGGCACACAACGGCTGTCACAGACGTGCACACGCACAGTTACACAGGGAGGCGTGCGTCGTCTCCATAGGGACAGTTACACACACAGCTCTACCTCGTGGTACACACGCTTCCCAGGTACACACATTCGGGGGCAGCCTTACATGATCTCACTCACTCACACACAGTGTTTTAGTGACCTGTGTATATATGCCTCGTGTGCAGACGGGTAGAGACTGCCACTCACTTCTGCACACAGCATGGTGGCATGTGACAAGGTTAGACTCAGTGGACCAAGCATGACACAGGGCAAGTGACCTAGCATCATCCACCTTCACACAGCCACTGTCTCGTGGTGACAGCCTCTTCTCCACACTCAGTCTGCACACTCAGGAGGGATGGGCGCTCCACACACACACACAGCGCTGCGCCATCACACATACAGCCACTACAGCCACACAGTCACGTACAGTCACCCATACACAGACCCTCAAGCAGCCACGTGTTTGCAAAGATAGCCACACAAAATCCTGCACCCAGCCACAATCACACAATCACAAACGGCTACCCGAAGGCACCTAGCCACACATTTTCATGGTGCCGAGCACTTTTGTCACACACAATCCTGTCACACAGGGACAGAAACCAGCAGTCATACATACACAAAGCCAAGCAGCCACACACGGTAACACTCACAGTCAATGATACACACACACCGTCCTAAATGCACAAACACCCGGTCACACAATCACATCTACAGCCTCAAAGAGTAGTCACACCTGTCACAGACGGTCACTCAGTATGGGAAAAGGCACCACACACACACACACACACACACTCGGTAGCAGTCATACGGCCACACACAATCACAAGTAAAGACAGATTCACATTCACCCAGCCTTGGAGCCATAACCAGTCACATGTGTTCCCCCAGTGCCACATAGAGAGTCACCGACAGCCCCACGATGCACAGTTACCCTGCGTGCACACACTGGGATTCTGGGTACCTGTCACCCCCAGAATCAGTGCTGTGATCAGTGCACCGACCATCCGCGCCCAGGGGTCCAGCTGTAGCCAAGGTCATTGCACCTGGCGGGGGTGGGGCGGGGAGGAAAAGAGAGTGGGGAGGCCCAGGTGATTCTGGGAACCCTTACCCACCCCCACCTTCTTCCCTTCCCTGTTTCTCAGAGCAGAGACGGACCACGAGGACGTGGCCCACCCAGAGCGCTGAGATGAGTTGAGACTCAGGGCTTATAGACTTCAAAAGAATCAACATCCAGCATCCTCCAGTCTCCGAGAGAGGATGGAAAGAGGATGGGGGATGCATCTCAGACCAGAGCCAACGCAAAGACATCTCTCCCTTCCTATGCCCCGCCTCCCCAGCCCTCACCTGCCACGTCCCCCAGATAGGGGGTGGGGAACCCGCTCCCAGCGCCGCCGCCGCTGTCCTGCAGCCGCCTACGCCTCCGCTCCCGGCGCCCGGCCTGGGTTATAACGACCCACTGAACCCTGGGGCGCATTCCCGGGTAGTGAGGCGCCCTGCCGGACCTTAGCAACCACTCCTCCGGCCTCCCCCCATCTCCACCCCCAAAGCACCCCCCACCCAGTCCCGAAGGCCACTCCCTACCTCCCTGGCCCCGGGATGGGGAGGGGTCTCCGGAGGTCTGGCGTCTCACCAGCTCTGGAGCGCCCTTGGCGCAAGTGTTTTTCTGTCTTCCCCGTGGCTTCACTCATTCTACCTCCCTCCGCCCCCCTTCTCATCTTTCCTTCTCTCTGTGTTCCGCTTCCCTCGGAATCTTTCTGCGTCTCTCTCCGTATAAGGCGCCCACCCAGTGTCTCTTTCTGCTGTATTTTTTTTTTTACAGCTTTATTGTGGTAAAACTGAGGCACAATAAATATACCATATTTAATGTGTACAATGTGATGAGTTTTGACCCACACACTTCCAACCATCACCCCAGTTAAGATAATGAGCTATTACCCCCAAAGTTTCCTCAGGCCCCTTTATGTGTTGCTGTGATTCTCAATTCATCTCTCTTTCTCTACACCCCTGGGTCTCTCTCTGTATCTTTTCTTTTCTTTTTTTTTGCGGTACGCGGGCCCCTCACTGCTGTGGCCTCTCCCGTTGCGGAGCACAGGCTCCGGATGCGCAGGCTCAGCGGCCATGGCTCACGGGCCCAGCCGCTCCGCGGCATGTGGGATCTTCCCGGACCGGGACACGAACCCGCGTCCCCTGCATCGGCAGGTGGACTCCCAACCCCTGCGCCACCAGGGAAGCCCCTGTATCTTTTCTTTTCTGTTATCTCTCTTTTCTCTGTGACACTACCCTTCTCTGTCTCCCTATTCTCTGTTTCTATCCCTGCATCATCTTCTTGTCTTTCCTCTTCTCCTTCTTCTTTCTTCTCCTTCTCCTCCCCCCGCCCTTTGTCACTGGCTCTGGGTATGTGTATCTTTGTGTCTTTCTGTTCCTCTATCTCCCTCACCCTCCATTTGGGCCAGGAAGACTCTGGCCAATTTGCTGATGGACCCCCTCAACCCCTTCTCTGCCTCTCACCCTGTGACCAGGGCCACCGGGCAGAAAGGGGCGGGGATCCAGTCTAGGCCCCCCGGCAGGTGCCTTACATAGCCTGTCTGACACAGCCAGGCGTGGGTGAGATTTGGGCAGGGCCACCTGTCAATGGGGAAAGAGGCCAAGAGGCCAGGCTAGGGGGTGGGTGGCTCCCGGCCTCTTGGGAAGCGGGGCACTGGGTAGGAACCCAAAAGGTGTCTCCTCCCTCCCCGGTTCCTGGGCCACCCAGGGCTGCCTCTTCTGACCTCTTATGCATTCCAGCTCTTCTTTCTGTCTGCCCCCAGCTCTACGCATCCATCTCTGTGTCTCCAAGTCTCTGTCTCCGCTAGGATATAAGAGCCAAAGACTCATTTGACGCCTATTTACTGAGCATCTACAGTGTGCCAGACTCAGATCTGTCTGTGAAGAGAAATAGACAAACGAGCCTGGAGATGCTGCCTTTGCAGAGCTCACATTCCTTGAGGGCAAAAGCAAAGCTGTCTTGTTCATTTCTGTAATCCAGCGCCCATTGAATGGGAGGTTTTAGAGCCCTGAGACTCATTTCAGTGTGTAGGGAAAAAAACTTAAAAACATAAAATTCTGAGGTTTGTTTTGGCGATTGCAATGAATATTTCATGCATTAAGGTGACAAATCCAGCAGCCTACTTCTTTTAAGCCTACAGTCTTTTAAGTTTAGCTTACAAACCTTTTTATTCCAAATATGTGTTTTGATTACAGGAAGGGTTTTGTTGTTGGTTTTTGTTTTCGTTTTGCGTTTTAATTTTTTTAATTGAAGTATAGTTGATTTACAAAGTTGTGTTAATTTCTGCTGTAAAGCAAATCGTACGAATGTTTTCTTTTTTTCTTTTTATAAGGATATGGCTGAGTCTTTTTTTGTAATTTATTTATTTTCTTTATTATTTATTTTTGGCTGCACTGAGTCTTCGTTGCTGCGCGCAGGCATTCTCTGGTTTCGGCGAGCGGAGGCTACTCTTCATTGCGGTCCGCGGGCTTCTCATTGCGGTGGCTTCTCTTGCTGCGGAGCATGGGCTCTAGGCGCGCGGGTTTCAGTAGTTGTGGCACGCGGGCTCAGTAGTTGTGGCTTGCGGGCTCCAGAGCACAGGCTCAGTAGTTGTGGCACATGGGCTTAGTTGCTCCGCGGCGTGTGGGATCTTCCCAGACCAGGCCTCAAACCCGTGTCCCCTGCACTGGCAGGCGGATTTTTAGCCACTGAGCCACCGGAAAAGCCCCCAATGTTTTCTTAGGTCAGCCTCCCAAGGCAATAGAAATAAAAACAAAAATAAACAAATGGGACCTAATCAAACTTAAAAACTTTTGCACAGCAAATGAGGTAAGTCTTTATAATAATGTTGGGTCCCATTTACAAACTAAGTTAATTAAATATCTTCAAACGTTTAAAAACTACATTTCTAAAACCAACACACTCCATCTCTTCTGGAAGTCCTTCAGTTTTTAGGCAAACCTTCCAGAGCATGTAAATAAGTTTATACATCTATGTACATTTTACTTACAAATATGATCAATTGGGACTTCGCTGCTGGTCCAGTGGTTAAGACTCTGCACTCCCAATGCAGGGGGCCCAGGTTCGATCCCTGGTCAGCGAACTAGATCCCACATGCTGCAATCAAGAGCCTGCATGCCGCAACTAAGATCCTGCGTGCCGTAACTAAGATCCTGCGTGCCGCAACTAAGACCTGGCACAGCCAAATAAATAAGTATATAAATAAATAAATAAATATTTAAAAAAATATGATCAACATTGCATTCTTTCAAGTATCTCAACACTGAATATAAAGTGGGGATGACTCTAACTTAAAAATCACAGAGCAATGACCCATTCCAAGTTGAAGTCAGAAGACTCTCCCCACAGTAGATAAAATTCTAGTAGACATACAAACACCTTCAACACCAAACGTGCAGAGATTCTGCTTCCAACAATATTCATGTTAAGGGTTGGGCCTTCAAACATTTCCATGCTCATTTTGAAAACATATCAGAATTGGAAGAAGATGTTAGCAGAGCAGTTAGGACCCCAAACTCTGGCACCAGCCCCCCTGGCATTCAATTCTGACTTGACCACCTACTGTCTTCGAGACTTTGGGCAAACCATGTTACCTCTCTGTTATTATTGTTAGTACCCATTAAGGAAGATGCTTTCCTCTCAGTTAACGGAAGTTGATTTTGGTCTGGACGTTCATTGATTGGCTTCTTCCTGGTGATCCCAGTGAATTTCATGCCCCTATTTATTCTTCATAACTTCTAAAAGGGGTTGGTCAAGGTGGGCCCGGGCCATCACGTGACTTAATATTTTCATGTACTCATAAAAAGTCAATTACTCCCTCCCATCACATAAATTTCACCTTTGGTAAACTTCACCTTGATAAAATTTCACCTTTCTTTGGTTCTTGAGACATCTAAGTGTGCTTTTTCTCAAATCTAAAGATCTTTAGACTCGAGAGACACTGTTCTTTTCATATACTGCCTCTGTCTTTGGACCACGTAGCTCTTCTACCATAAAATGACACATGACTGACTTTGAATATCTCCTATGGTGTGGCCGCTCTGTGTAACAATTTCCAACTGCATTCTACTCTATGCTGGGCAAAAATAAGGTTGCGATAAATGTTTGTGAAGCAAATGGACCATTGTGTCTGATTCTCCCTCTGTTCCTAAATATTTCTCTGCTCGAAACTTCAGCTCCCACGTTGGACCCTCTTTTCCCTTTCTCTGGGGAGCCACTTACTGTCCCATTCGTCTCCCTGGGAGGATGCCTGGCTTAGATGTCGTTTTGTCTTTCTTGGAGATGGTGCAGTGGGGGTCAAGAGAGGAAGCCCTCTCTGAGGACAGGGACAGACCTGGGGCTTGGGGATAGGTGTGCGTGCATCAGTGTGGGATCACGCGCAGTGCATGTGGGTGGAAGAACCCCAGAAAGCATGTAGAAGCCTGGGTCCTCACCCAGTTCTGCCTGTCTGCCCCCCTCATTTTGGGGAGGGCCTCCAGTCTCTACAGCTCCCTGCCCATCCCCCTCTCCTCAAATGGACTGCAATGAGATCTTTCAAATACCCACATCTGACCCTGTCCTTCCTTTTCTCAAGGCCCTCAGGATCAAGGTCAAGTACTTCTGCCTTGTACTCAGGGCCCAACGCCATGTTCCAGTGACCTACTTTCCCAGCCATGTCACCTATTTCTCTGGCCTCAAACCTCAGCCCCCACCAACCTGGATGATTTGCCATCTCTGGAACACAGCAGATGTTCTCACACTCCCAGACTTTTCTACAGGTCATTAGCATCTTGAGTGTGCCACCCACCCAAACTTCTCCACACGGTGAATTCATATTCAGCCTCCCTCTCCAGCTGTCCCAGCCCCAGCCCCTGCTCAGCCCTCATCTTCTCTCCCTGCACCATCACTTCTACTCCCCCCTGACCTCTGGTCTCTTCTTTCTGGTCCATCCCGCACATGGCCCCAGAGCTGCTTCTGCTCTCATCCCTTCCATGGCTCCCCACTGCTCTCAGGAGAAGCCCTAGCCTCTCAACCTGGGGTCTGTGGTCTTTTGGGATTTGGTCCCTGCTCTCTTTATCTCCCATCACTCTTACCCACACACAGTGGCCTCCCAGCCCTCTCATCTCCCTGCTTTTGCTGCTACAAGGGGAGTTTAGTGGAGAAAGCCACCCCTCAGGGCTAGTTAGGTGGAGGAGACAAGGGTGTCTTGCCAGGGAGGAGAAAAATCAAGTTGGGCTGTAAAAGGGAACTAAGGATATCTGGGCTTCAGAGAGGCAGAGGTGGGATAAAGGCAAAAAGTACCACTAATAATAAAATTCACTCTTTATTGTTCACACGGGTGTGCCAGGCACTGCCATATGTGTTTCACATGTTTACAGCCTTGAATCTCCCCAACAACATAGCCACCGCCTTATGAGGGGTATACGATTATTATCCTTATTTTAGAGATG